CGCAGCAGCGGGTGTGCGGGGGGAGGGCCGGGCTGCAGCCCCTGCCCGCGCCCGGGAGGTGGATGGGGGAGAACGGAAAGCTTTCGAAATCCACGACGGAGAACAAGGGCAGGTGGTCCCTCGGGTGTCCTCCAAGGTTATCGCACCTCCCTCGTGTAAAGCACAATTCACCTCGGGGTTTTAAATAGGAAGAACGTTGAAGATAAAAACGGAGTTATAAAATCGGCGTGTGAAGTTAATGACACGATTTGCCTTACAAGCATTAGGAAAGAAAAAAAAAAAAAACAAAAAAACAAAACCCCCAAGACATGCAGCATACCTGCTCAGCCACAAACACCTACCTTGGCCATCAATATCAATTTTCTCCCATCAGCCATAGAAGATTAGAAAGATCTTTTCAACCCAACATGGGAATCAGCAAGATGTCATGCCTTTATATCTTCATATTACACCTACGGGATGTACAAGCATTAGTTAATTTTACAAGGTTGTATTCATCTAATTACCATCTTCGGTTTATGAAGTGCTGAAAGAAGCCAGTCTCAGCCAGGTTGGGTAAGATGACCACTGATGACTGAATCAGTATCAGAGCTGTCAGCAGAACTCCGAGCACAAAGGGATTAAATGCTACACCCACAGTTGCAGTTCTCCAGCCTCTAGATCCTTTCTTGAGAAGCTTAAAGGCTACAGGTGACTGCCATTTCTACATAAGAGCTCCCTGTTTGCACACCTGGGCACTAGTAGTTAAAGCCTAAGACTAGGTGGAGTCTCCAAAGCTCTCACAGTTTCACCTCCTTCTGGCTGGTGTCCTTACAGCACCCTCCCCACCACCCTTAATGAGACAGCTGGGCATAGGGCTCTAGGGCTAACGTGGACCAAATGGGCCAGGACACCAGATCTATGGCAACTGGGGTCCACCCTACACCTGCAGAGCTGGAGTAGGGTTATATGTGTGGGGTCAGATAGAGCCGTTCGGGAATTCATCCCACACAAAGGGGTGGGATGTAGAGTACATTGTCTTCATCATTTGTATAGGTGGAAGAAAGGCTGCTGCCCTTGCAAATACCTAGGTGCTTTCTTCATTGACTGGAGCACTCAACAGGAGAGTGGAAGCTCCTACAACTTCTTTTAAGGTTGGACTCGATGGTCTCATGGACTTTTTCCCAACCTAAATGATTCTGTGATTCTAGCAGAGGCGCTCAGATTCTTTCATTGGAAATGTAGCACGGGGGAACTTGCAAAGAAAGAAACCACAAAAAAGTGGTTCTTACCCCAGGAAGTCTCAGCTGTTTGCAGAGTGTGGCCAATGGTTGCTGGGATAATTCGGAGTACACAGGGTTTTGGTTGCCTGCATCTCAGGCATGTTCTTTAACATAAACATCTGCCTTTGACAACAGACCAGCCAGGCCTCTGCCTAAACTGAAAAAAACATACCTGAGCTGAGGGCGACTACTTGGCACCAACATGGGGAACAAGCAGACAAAGATGTGAGTTAACAGAACAGGCAGTCAGGGGTGGCTTTGTTCAAAGTCCATGATCTTGCAGTCTGAAAAGTAACCACAAGGAAAGTTTCTGGGAAGCACAGAATGGGAGAGAACTATTGCTAGTATTATCTTTCAGGACATTGAATAGGGAGCTTGATAAGCATCAGTTCTTGCAGAAACTCTTTCATGAGCTACTACACGGGAGACAAAGTACATTCAAATCTACCGACCTATAGAAATTCCTTTGTGAAGTTTCGAAAAAGCAAGCAGGCCTGAAGAACAATTCCCAACTATGACCCAATTAGGACATTAAAGAGGCAGCGTGTCAGAGACAGTTCATGACAGCTTCCCAGAAATCTCTAGAAAAAAAAGGCGAGGGGATAATTTGGTTAAGGAGATGAAAAACCAAGAAAGAATCAGTAAAGCCCCCTGAGAAGCTTACCCTTTGAACCGATGAACTGAAGGGAGTAATGCAGCTCTCAAATGTGTCAAGGGCTGGGGCAAGTCTAGAGGCCTGGCTGAAAAAAATGCCTTTTAGCTAGTTAAAGTAGTACATCTCAAATGCTAAAAAGGAATAAAAAAATGTAAACTCTCCAGTGTACTCTGCCCTCGGGGAAAAATGAGAGAGATTAAGCTTCATTGTTCTTTCTTGAGTAACCCCCTTAATTCCATCATAATTGCGGTGACTGAGCTGGAGAAAGTGCTGTGGCAAGCCTGGATGAGGGATGAGTTTGAAACCAACCTTGATAGAGCCCTACCCCTGAACTTCTGTCTAATGCGGTATAAGCAGGAAAGTTAAATTTTACATCAAACTACCATTAAATAATTTAATGCAAAACTGTTTAAGGGAAGTTGCCTGATGAGAGTCCATGCAGCCAGTGTTGCAAGAATTGGAACAGCACTTCCCTCACTCCCTTTGACAATGTACCTTTACGTTTTAACGGATTACTGAGGGGCAGAAGATCAAGATGAGAGAGTTGAATGTTTGAAACGCAATACCAGGTATCTTTGGGACAGATTAGCCTCAGTACAAAACCCCTCATCTTTTATGGATGATGAACTAAGGAACTTCACAATTGCTTCACAGAAAATAGGAAAGGTTGAGCAGCTTAATTTCCCTGAGGTCAGTCAATAATCTTTCTGTTAATTGCAGAGCTGTACCAGATGCAATGATGCCTTACTGTAACCTGTTGGCATAGTCTTACTCAGTGTCTCAGTTCAGTGCAGGCCAAAGCACAAACACCACCCTGGTGAGGACTTGTGGTTCTTTCCCTCTTCGTATGTCATATTCAAGAGTATGGTTTAGCTATGGAAAGTTTTGTTTCAAATAGCTTATGGACCCAGAATGAAGTGTACCTCTTTTAAAGGTTTAACAATACATACCGTCTCCTTGAAAAAAAGGCCCAAACCCAGAAAATTAATTTTTCCTCCAGCTTGATTTACAGAGCTTTACATCATTTAAAAAAAATTAAAGACCTCAAGAGAATGTCAACAAAGCCTTAGGAGCACAAAACCAAGGAAGCACTTAAACAGGGTAATAACTTAAATACTAACAACAAACCTCAAGTCATTCCCAGGCTGTTAGTGAAAGAATCCTATCCTAGCAGGGGTATAGGTTCATCTAAATGCACGAGTTTATCTGTGGTATATCTTAGTTCTACCAGAAAAAAATCCCACAACAGCTGATTATTTTAAAAGCCACTCTATGACGCTGATGTCTTAACAGATGAAGCACTGAAGAACTTAACTGCTGTTAAAATAAACATCACTGGCATGATGTATGGTGCCCACACTTGGTTGAACACCCAAAATCAGTTTAGTATTCATCTCAAGTCTTAAAAGGCTGGATAGACCATTTGTGACCTGCTCTTGAAAAATGTTATGGCTTATTTTGAGGTTAGCTGCTATGCTGAACACGGAGTTACTATTAGCCACAAAAAGGGAAATAATAAGCATAGATATGTGGGTTTGTTTGTTTGTTTGTTCATTTGTTTGTTTTAAATACGAGGAAAGCAGCTTAGTCTGGAGAAACAGTATGATGGCCCAGAAGATCTATAAACTGGGAAAAAAAAAAAAAAATCCAGACTCTTAGGGCTCAACATATCAGAAATCTAAGGGAATCCAAGGGTAAATGTTCAGCAGCCATTTTAATATTACTGTTTATTTTTCTAATAGAAATTGCTAAAGTTGCCGTACTGCTGAAATTTATTTTATCCCTGCTTTTTGGTTGCACTCAACCTTCTTCAGTAACTTCTTTTAAGTTTGTCTTTTTCAAGCCTCATTTCAACAGGGGGAAGTTATTTTACTGAAAGCATGAGGAAATCTAGTTGGATTATTCTGGAAAGTGTGTCTATTCTCAGATACGAGTACTTCACAGGTGGAATTAGGTGTTATGGACATGGGCCTCCAAACCAGTAGAAATTAGGGTCTTCACCCTTAGTCTGGCAGGAAGATCAGATGCCCTTTACACCAACCAAGGAAGCATTAGCACTGACATTCCTGCTCATTAATAGCTATCTGAATCCTATCTTTTACATCTGAGTTTGTGCTGCTTCCCCTATCTGAGACCAGACCTGAATGGTCCTTAACTTTAACAGCATCATCAAGTTGAGAAATGTAAACTACTTCTCTTCTTCCCAAGTTCAGCTACACGAGGCTATGAAGGCAGGTCCTCAGTTCAAAGACTTCTCTGACTCCTGGCTTTAGCTGCAGTGCTGACCAACATTCCTGGTTTACCACAGACATTGGAGTAACTACTCTGGCTTTTGACCCACAGATGAAAAAATATTTTATCTGGGCAAAGGTACGTTCTAGTTTCCCCACTTGAGATCATGCTTGCAGGTGAAGTGATGCTGTCTTGCTGTGTTGCCACCTCAGCATACACAACTCGCATCAGGAAAGAGCTTAAAATGTTGCACGTTTTGTAGGTTTAATGACTATCTCGTAGAGACATTCACTGTCTGCTAGTAAGCAGATGGAGAAATCTGGGGTTCGCATCATATCCAGCAGCCCAAAACTAAACATCTCTTCATTCTGCTAGGGCACACTTAGGAAAAGCTCTCTTAATCAGGATCAAGATAGAGTCAACAGCATTCATAGCACAACTCTCTGGGCAAGAAAGAGGCCACACAACTCTCAGATTTCACAGCCTGTGTGAAACACCTTTCGGTCTTTCTCCAACTTTCTCACACTTGCTTGAGAAAGTAAGCTGTAACAGAGTAATGAATATGTTGGCGTTCATGAGGAGTGATTCATAACATTTCCTTAAGAAATTATTTTCTTAAGGGCATTTGATACTTAATTTTGTGGCCTCTCTTTTAGTGAAAAGGACTCATTTAACAGTATCAAACTTACACAATGAGTACCATTCCAAAAATACCCTTTAAGAGAATTCTGTGTCAGGCTTTACCTTGTGCTTCCATCAAGGTAAGTTTGAATGAACCCTTCCTCTCTCACATCACAATGATTTTGTTCAAAGTCTTCGAAGCCAAAGCAGAACGTGGAGAATAACTCAGAGGGTGTTGTAGTTTAACCCCGTCTGGCAGCTAAGCACCGCACAGCCGCTCACTCACTCCCCCCTGGTGGGATGGGGGAGAATATTGGAAAAGTAAAAGTGAGAGAACTTGTGGGTTGACATAAAGACAGCTTAATAGATTAAGCAAAAGCCACACACACAAGCAAAGCAAAACCAGGAGTTAATTCACCACTTTTCATCATCAGGCAGGTGTTCAGCCATCTCCGGGAAAGCAGCACTCCATTGTGAGTAACGGTAACTTGGGAGGACAAACACCATCATTCCTAATGCCCCCTCTTCCTTCTTCCCTGAGCTTTATATGTTGAGCACAATGTCATACGACATCTCTTTAACCAAATAGTAAGTGATAGAACAAGAGGGAATGGCCTCAAATTGCGCCAGGGAAGGGTTAGACTAGGTATTAGGAAGCATTTATTTGCAGAAGGGGTTGTTGGGCATTGGAATGGGCTGCCCAGGGCAGGGGGGAGTCCCCATCCCTGGAGGGGTTGAAGAGTCGGGTCGACTTAGTGCTTAGGGATATACTGTAGTTGAGAACTGTCAGTGCTAGGTGAACGGTTGGACTGGAT